TTCCGAGCATCTCTTAAAGCTTAGGCCCAAGAATGCTTGTACCCCAGGGCCAAAGAACACGGTTACCCAACTCTAAGAGCAGGCCAAATATGTTGCCCGTGCAAGTGGTTCTCCATCTTCCTCAAAGGACCAGGTTCCCCCTTCCGATCCTTTGGAAAAGAGGAAGCATGCAGAGGAAACTGAGTGCAATGTGCCCGAAAGTGATAAAGCGCACGGGGAAGTATTCGTGTTGCCTCTCTGTTACCTAAACTGTGACATCTTCGACGGGGGGAGTTCTTTAGGTGTTCGCGAGGAAGAGAAGGAGGCGATTTTGTCTGAGGATAAGGAGATCCGACGGAAAAACATGGCGGAGGATGTGGCCGATGTGATGAGAGTACTCGAGACGGACTTAACGCTAAATGACGAGGCTACGAGCTCTCAGGACGCCCTCGACGCAGTGTCTGCCAAGATTCAGAAGCTAAAGGCAAAAAATGAGAAGCTGAAAGGCGACATCCTCAACCATGAAACAAAGTTTGAGGCCTAAGTTCGACTCCTCAAGGATCTCAATAACTTACATCCCCAACTGGACTTTGCGACTAAGGAGAACGAGCGCCTGGTCGCCCGAGTAAAGGAGTTGGAAGGGATCGTGACCCTAACCAACAAAGAGACTGACGCGGAGAAATCCATGGCGACTAGGGGAGATCTAATCGCACGCATCCGGGTGCTCGAGCAAGATGTCGTGGACACCCTCGGCTATGGTTTCAACACGACAGTGGAGTAGATAAAAGTTTTGAACCTGGAGGTCAAGTTGGTGGTCGAAGAAGCGGGACCGTTTAATCAAGTGATTGATGGAAAAATCTTATATCTTCCCGAGGATAGCGACGGGGAAGGCGAGATCTGAAATGTTTTGGGCATGCGTGCTTGTTTTTGTTTAGTTTTATTTGTGGCCTTCGTGCCTATATTATGTAAATATTAAACAGTGTTGGCCCTCGTGGTCGGCATTTATAAATGTCTTTCTTTATTTATAAATACGTTGTTGTTTCTCTTTATAAATACTTGCTTTTCGTTGTGCTTGATCTGTTTGTCTCTTGAAAGTTTATATTTCCAAGAGTGGAGATTGTGTTCGACCTTGGTTGTGCTCGACACATGTTAGAATGTGTCAAGGAAGCGGTGTGGGAAACCACAGGGTGAACTCAAGATCGCAGTCGGGATCTTGACTTTGTGGCGTGAACCGCCCATCACGAGCTGGGTGTTCTGCCTATTGGATACTTCAATAGCAGAGCTCGATCAAGGTGTCCCTGTCGGGCTAAGGTTTGGCTCGATAAATGAACAATTAAACCCGTCTTTCGTTGTGTTTGGAGGCCATGTTCGTACCTCGACATGCCTCTGTGGTCGAGCTTGTTCCATCGTTAGTTGAAGAGGACTGGTCGACTACTAATTCCCATAGTGTGATAAGGACTTAGCTATAATGTTGTTTCAATTTTGTTGTGTTCCATGATCGAGGTAGTGGTTCTCCATTTAAATGCTCGAGGTAGTATGCCCCGATGCCCGTAGCTCCGCGAATGCGATATGGTCCTTCCTAGCTTGCAGCCAGCTTCCCTTCACGGGAGTCTTTCTGATTTCTCCGCAAGACTATGCTACCGAGCTGGAATTCACGCTTTTTGACTTTGTTGCCATGGCGAAGGGCTATCTATTGTTTCAGTGCGGCCTCGCGAATAGCTGCTATAGAAAGTCTTTTTAATTCTTATTCATAAGAAGCTGGAGAAAGCTTCAGAAAGTGCACCCACTCACTAAAGCACCACCCAACATAAAACTCGACTAGAGATCAAATCACTATACCCATCATCAATAGAACAGTGAAATAACTAGCATCACCAAAACCACCAAACACCTTTAGAGTAGGTCAAAACTCTTGACCCGCTATCAGTTTAGACACAGAATACAGTTTTAAAGTCAATAGGGGAAAATGTTGAATTTAACGAAGACTTGCTTAAAAACCAATTTCAAGCCAAAAAATATTCTTCTCTTCCATCTTTTACACATTTGTTGAAGAATGAGATAAATTTTTTTCACTACGCAACAACCCACATCACCACATGTCATATCATAGAAAAACATCCTCTACTCTTAACCTTAACTCCTAAAGATATTAAAAACTAAAAAAACCTAAGCTCACAAGGCAGCGCCACCTGCAACCTCAACCACTTAAATATCCTATACCATACGATAAAAGCTAATATACAAATAACAAACAAATGAGAGGCATATTTAAGTCGATCTCAATACAAGGCACATAAAATATTGTATGGGCCATCAATAAATTTATCCTTGAACAAATTCTCTCTAAAGGAAAACATATTCAATAAAAGTTGTCAAGAGAAGACTGTCACCTTAGAGGAAGCCTAACTATCCCAAGTACGAATAAAGAAATGGGTTTTCCATCACTATATAGGTTTTAGAGAGGAGATTGGGATCGACTTGGACTAAGTAAGTAGAATCCGCTCAAAAAATACTCTTCATATTATGCTTTCAAAACCACATTTCACTCTCTCACTAAACTAAGATTGACTGAGGGCTAGAAACAAAGTCAGAGACCGAGGCTTCTTCATGAACAGAAAATGATTGCTCCACCTAACGTCCCAAGTGATCCTCTTATGTTTCCATTTTCCTAACTCACCCACTTTACCATATTGAACTTTGGGAGATAGTAAAGAGACTATGAAACCAAACCTTGAGAGGTATATCCACTGTCTAAGGATCCTTCCAAAAAGAGGTGTGAAGACCAGACTCGGCCTTCTTAAGAAGTCCACCCTCAAACTAATTTTGAAGATCATATTTTTTAGATCCGAGGAGAGAGACTCATTTCCACCACGAGGAAACATAGAGAAAACGTAAAAATATACCCCGCACAAGGAGATGAATAATTAAACACCATATACTACAACAATAATATCAAACTAAACACTAGAAGCACCCAACAAGATCCTTTATCTCCATTTGGCTAATATTGCTACATTAACCAACCAAAGATCTCTCACACTCAAACCTACATTCTTCTTAGATTTGTAGACATCATACCATTTCACCCAAAAAAAATTGACCTCCCCTTTCACACCACCCAAAGGAATATCCTCTGAATCTTGATTATCTTCTTCTAAATTGTCAGAAGCATATTTAAAGAAAGAGAAAGAAAACGGGAATAAAATTAAAACATAATTAAGGGTAACTCTCCCTCGTACGCTAACATACCTATGATTCTAAGACGTCTCTTCTACGCCAGATTAAATATAGGTCCCTAAATAGACTTTAATCGAGGATTTGCTCATACTAGAAACCTTATATATATATATATATATATATATATATATATATATATATATATATATATATATATATATATATATATATATATATATATATATATATATATATATATATATATATATATATATATATATATATATATATATATATATATATATATATATATATATATATATATATATATATATATATATATATAAATGGAAGGTACTCAATCTTGCAATGAAGGAAATCCCCAGCTACCTCTAAGAAGGAAGGGTTAGCATTAATCTCAACCATTATAATGTAACCACGAGATACAATCTAAGAAGGGGATGAATTAGGATTGTTGAATTTTTCTCATTTTTGCATTGAGTTTCTTAATATCTTAAAGTATCAGAAGCAATGATACGAATGCTACTTAGAAAGGATTTATATTGGTTTCTCTTACCAACTATAGGGTACATCTAGGCTCTCTATTCTCTTAGAGAATTTTTCACTATCTAGGCTCTCTATTCTCTTAGAGAATTTTTCACTATGATCAAATGCTCTTTACAAGCCTCACATCAAGTCTTCTAAAAAAACATCTATCAACCAACCAAGAAAGCACACCTCTCTTTAAAAAAACGAGGATTTTGTTTTTCCACACTATTTTTTCTAATGCACCATGCAAAATTCAAAAAATACCCCTAAAAATCGAAAATATTTTTCCGATGCGCACCAATACACAAATAATTCATTCGTTTTTTAGATTCATCCTATTTTAATATAAAATTTATTCTGAAAATACACTTCCGAAAATTCCCAGAAATGCACTTCTGATTATGAAATCTATAAGCATAATATGGGCTACATCAGAACAATCTCAAGTAAAATAAGTTCAATAATGATATAAAAGAACAGAAAATTTATTCATGTAATGTATAATATTATCTGAATTATTCTTTTACATAGGAAACGTTGACTACTTTTTAAAGAGTTTTAAGAAATTTTTTTAAACGAACTAAACAAGGAATCATCTACAATGATCACTATGTCAAATATATCTCCAACTTAATCTCAAAACTAGAATTGCAAAAAATAAATGAATTATATGTGTGTAAATGCACATCTAAAAGATATTTTAAAAAATACATAAGTTATTTCTTTACACTATAGGGTGAAAAAAGAAACTCCCAAAAACAAACCCCAAACCCAGATTTATGTTACGAATAAAAAACAAACTTGTCTGAGCCAAGTTTGAACCGGGGACCTCTAGTGTGTGATTAATGTTGTAATCTTCATTGCAAAAAGGAATCATTGATTACCTTTTTAGGTAATCCAATCTAATGTACTCTCCAACTCCATGACTAAGGAATTTGAGTGTCCTTCCCTAGAACTATCAACTATGCGTGTTTAATTCACAAAACTTCATATGCAGATTTCTTTCACATATTTTCTTAGTAAAAAAAATTGGAATAAGACTGAAACTCACCGTCAGGTGGATATACTAATTATTTGAATGGTAAGCAACAGAAGTGAATAACCAGTCAAATAGAAGAAAATTACACACTGACGATAGATTTACAATACAAAGGCTAATGATACTTGTGGAAGACCTGGTAAAAAAAATACAGATTCCAGCTACCTTATACCTGATTATTAATCTATAGTTTACATAAGAGTCCAATATCTTGCACCCATTCATATCCTTTCCCCCTTGTAACTGGAAGATAATACTAATTTGAAGCAAATTTGTTTGCACCAATAGTAATCCCACTCTTGTTTGGTAGAAGCTCCTTTATATAATACTTGGAATTGCGGGACAGGTTGATTGTTTTCTTCTTCTTTTCAGGAATATAATCAATTGAACATTCTGAAAATCCACGCCTCACAAACCTGTCAAAAAGTTGGAAACCCATTTGTTTAGAAATGCAGTTATGAAGATTATAGAGCAGCAATTAAAAAAAAAACTTATAATCTTCATTAGTACTACTAATTTAACTTGAAAACTCCATGTATAGGAGTAGCAACATTTAAATCCACCACAATTATGTGCAGTTTATTCAATGAAAATTACTTTTTACCTTTAAGGACAACTTACCTCGAATCTATAAATAGTAGAAGAAAAACACATACAAGCAAAATATGCAAGTAACAACTAACAAGGCACTAAAGAGTGAAAAAGGATACTGATTGCGTATAACGCTTAAATGACATGGATTAGGAGAAGTTACTTACCAATCTGCTGTACGTGTTGTAAGCAGGAAAAGCCTATTCAATCCAAGAAATGCTGCTTTCTTCTCCATATAATCTGCAAATATTTCATCATTATATAAAAAACACGTGGCAGGCAGGATCAAATGCAAGGGAATTTCATGATTAAAATTATACATCTTTTCAATAATATCCAAGGCTCAAGCCTGCACAATATCTTCTTTAAACATAAACATGTTGAAACTTTCTAATGCTAAAAAAAATGTTTTCGTTGTGAGTTCATTGTACATAATTGATTCTATTAAAAAAAACAATTATTATGGTACTTTTAGGTTAAAGAGTACTTAAGAATTAATCATGGATCCTTTCTTAATCCTAATTCAGGTTAATACAATTCGGTCTTCATTTTTCTACAATGCCAAAACTCTTTCGTAGCTCTTTATAAAAAAAAACTCTTTTGTAACAAACATGGTTTCAAGCTGATTAACATTGTTCTAGTATGCATAAACAACAAAAATACCAACAATGTCACATTACATAGCACAGATTACTGGTCAGTAGTAACCATACATCATCCATAAGAATTTTCAAGCACAAAAGAAATAACATACCAAGCAATTTGTCTCCTTGTCCTTGGCCACGACAATCAGGAGATACTGCAATAGCAGCAACCTCTCCACATTTCTCCTCAAAGTAAGGAAAAAGGCCACCACAGGCAATTATTTGACCTTCTCTTTCCACAACAACGAAATTATCCAACATTTGTAGCAACTATAAACAGAGAATGATAAATAATGAGAAATGTTTAGACGTATTACCACGGCTATGTAAGCTATGTACATATCTACAACAGACACAGTAGATACTAAATTAAGCAAACCTCTTTGTCAGTCCGCTTAACCAGTACGCCAGATGCCTGCAACGGCTGCATAATTTGTTTTATTCCAGAAAGATCTTTTTTCTGTGCCATTCGAGTGCCTTCATAAAGATCACTGCAAAATTTAATTGAAGGATAAGAAAATGAAATCAAGGATCAGCTAATGAGATTTCCTTTGGAAAGAATGAAAGAAAAGGTTGATCAAAGACAGCGCCATAAAACAATCTGATGTAAGCAATAATTTCCTAAACTCTAGGTATGTAGGAAATGAACATCGTTGGTTCTGGCATAAATTGAATTTTGTAGTCGTAGCATGTCTACTATGAATTATAACAAGCTGCACTTGCATATAGCATGCATGTACTCTTTATGACTAATATGAACCATTATCTCAAGTCTCAACTAACCCTTCAATCTTTTTTGTAACTAATAGTCTCTTAAAAGAGAACAGGGGAATGCTCACAAATGGAGTTCAGATCCAACTCGCATATTTCCATCCTTATAGAAATAAACACCATGTAATTATCAGCTAACCATAAGGAGTTACAAACAAGTCTGAATCTCACTTAAGTCACCTGTACGATGACACCAGCAAGAAATCCACTCAGATGCCAACTAAATTGTTTCTTAAAAGTTAAAACAACTTCAAGGATACAATTTATTTTCAAGCACCGTAGCTTACCACCTATTTCTCTTGCCAATTAGTTACTAACCCTTGATCAAAATAACTTACAAGCATAAAAACTTAGTCCATAGACACTGCAAAGATTGCTTACCTTGCCACCATAGTTCCCATTCCATCTCTTTTAAACAATTCCAACAGTAAAACTCCACTAATAGTGCCATCCAACAAGTGCACTCTTTGAACCCCGCCCTGATAAACGGCAGATGGTATTATTAGCAAGATACTAGAGAAACATGCATCAATTGAAATTAAAAGTTGATCCGTAACACCCACAATATAGTGGCAGTATTTGAAATGAGTTAAAGCTCAAGATAATGAAGATATAGATGTACAGCACGCGAGCGCACACATATTATTGGTCTGACAGATCATGATTTTGAAAATACTTTTGGTCTTATAAATGCTTATGTACCATCGTAAACTTAAATAAACACGAGAGCACTTGACAAGAAAATTAAAAGATAAATCATGGACTCACTCTGCAAACAAAAGCTGCAGCAGCCAATTCTGACAAGTAGCCGTTCATTCGACTTAGCCTTTCTTGACCTCCAATAGCAAAGCCTTGCTCGCTATTCCCTAAGCCATCTCCATTCTCAAAACCAACACCATTATGGAAAGTTGCTTTATGCAATTCTGTAACGTGCTTTCCATTAGGTGGAGATATGACTGTCCCATTAAAATTGTTATGCTCAACATGATTAAAACCTTCTTCGTCAACAGCTTTGACATAGGTAGCAGCTGTTTCACTTTGCTTAGCCCGTTTACGAATTAACATGTCTGCTTCTTCAAGAGGCAAGAAACGAATTAGGCGTTCATTCTCATCAAGTATTGGGCCATCTATAACACAAATTAACTTGTCTGCTCCTATAGCCAAGGCACAAGCTGTTGCCACTTCATAGGTGCTGGAGAAAACACAAATACAAATATCAATATCAAGGATTCAAGCATAAGTGTAGTTTTTGGTGCTTTTACTTGTATCGTAATCTCAAGAGACTGTCTTTTCAGATCTATTCATAAGTGTAGTTCAGAAGATATGATTAATCACAAACTAAAAAATGATATGATGTAGAAACTAGAAAGAAATGATTAGAAGCTAACAAAACCATACTTGCAATTCAAAACTTCTCCAGAGCTGGAGTAGCCCAAGTTGGTTAAAATAACTATACAACCACCATCAAGTCTCTCACGCATGCGGGTTACATCTACTTTTTTAACCTCCCCAGTTGACCCATAATCAATTCCATCGACAACTCCTCTTCTCTGTCAAAACCCAAAATAACAATATGCTCTAACACAGTGATGATAAAAAAAGAGACAATTTTACAAGAGTTTACGCACAACGAATGAATCGCAAAATTCAAACCTTGGCTGCAAGAAAGTTACCACTTGCAACACTGACACCAACATCATGCCACCGACTATTATCACCGTGTCTACGAATATTACATATGGAAGGTCCAGGTGAAAGTTTAGCTTCCATCATCAATCTTATTCCTCCTGCCGCTTCCATTGCAGCTTCTAGAGACGGACCATCGGTTATTCTATATCTCCCAACATACTTAGGCTGGCTCCCTACAAATACAATAACAGGGTCAACGATGAGGTTTCGCAAGCAACAGTGTTAAGATTAAAAAGAACTTATTTTTCAGCATAGTTAAACAACCCGCTTGATCTCTAGTGAATAAACAGCTTAATTACGCATTTATTGCAGAAGGGCTTATAACTGAATTCTAGCTCAACTCAAACAGGTTGTCATTAACTGACTAACCTCTCTCTTTCAAAAGCTTGTCAATTTGCACATGAGTACCAGGAACAAGAACAAACCGAATTCCAAGGTGATGAAGAAAAGCTATATCCTGCACCCAGAAACATTACAGCTATTAATTTCAAGTGTTATATTTGCAAAAATTGGAACATTAATTAGAGATAATAAAAGCAATAAGTGTTATAATTATAACAACTGGGAAAGTGGTATTTAAACCTAAAAAAAACAATAATCAGGAAATCGAAGGATAAGAAAGAAGATAAAACAATTAATGCCTTGAGAATGGGATCAAAGTAAGGACTAGCGACAATTTCGCCGGAGATGATGAGAACAAAGGTGCTTCCACGAAAAACCCAAAGGTAAGGCCACGCTTCACGAAAGGAACGCACGAATTGTTTATCTTCCATGGAGTTGAAAGTCTCTTCTTCAATGATTCCGTTAAGTCCTTCGTTAAACGCATTGAGTTGAGTCAGTTTTTCATTGTTTCGGTTGTTGAAAGATGAGGGTTTTGGTGAAAGAGGTTTGAATTGGAGTTTGAGTTGTTGTGGGTGGAAGTGTGAATATTGGTGACGAGTAGAAGAAGAAGAAGACGAAGCGGTGAAGTTGGGAAGGGAGGTGAAGAGACGCGATAAGGAAGGAGACATTGGGGTGGTCAGTGATCGGCAGCAACGGCGGATGTGTTTACAGAGACGCAAAGTTTAGTAGCCACCGCCGCGCCGCTTTGAAACTCTGTTGCTTCAATCATGGACACATAGCTAACACTTGTTTGTTCCTTCCGTGTTTTTTTATTTTATTTATATTTTTATTTTTTTTATTTTTTTATTTAATTTTTAATTGTTTTTAGTATTGTTTTTTTACGGCAAAAGGGGAAGTAGGTATTAAAATTCAAACCCATATTTTATTTTTTATTAATTTTAAATAAAATTGATGAAATCATTTTTTATTTAATATATATATATATATATATATATATATATATATATATATATATATATATATATATATATATATATATATATATATATAGTTTAAAGAAAATTAGAAACATAACATGTGAATTTAAAAAAAATCAATCAAAACTTTTATTGGTTAAAAAAATAAAAAATAATATTTTTCTCTCTATCATTATAACAACTATTCATGACCTCAATTAAAAAAAATTAATATTTAAATAAATTTTAAATTCTCAAATTTTTTATTAGTTGTTTTTAAAAATGATTTCCATGCAAGTATTTCTTTATAGTTTAATTAAAACACGCTGTGTAAAAATATTTTCCAATAAATCACAACAATTTATTTGTTTAAAATGTTTGATTTTGATTTTTTTTTTTAAATAATATATTTGAATGAATATAATATATTTTGTATGAAGAAAACATATATATTAATATCTATATATTTTATTTTAAATATCACTTTTTAAATTTAAAATAAAATGTTACTACTATATTATTTATTTATTACAACTTTTTATTAAAAAAAGTTTAAATCGTGTAAGTTAAATTTATTGATAAGACTCGTTTGTTGCCTAAAAAAATGAGAGAAAAAATATAGTAAAGTATAAAAAAAAAAGGAAAGAGATTGAAAAGTAATTTTTTGTTTTGTTTTTTGATATAAAAGAAAAAGAAAAAGCTAAAAAGTTATATCTATGCATTGACAAAAATATTCTAATCACTTGTTTACAGAAATCAAGTGCTATAGTGCGAGTTTTAACCGTGATAGATTATTCAAAAAAAAAAAATTCTAAGCAATATTTATTGATTTTATTTAATCTATTATAACTAAGTTTTATGTTAAATATTTTATTTTTAAGTTCAACAAAAATAGCATTTTTTTAATATTAAAGTTTTAACAAAAATTTATTTCAAAATTTTAATTTACTTAATATTTTTAAAATCAAATAAAACTATTAAAATATTTTTTTTAATATTACTATTTTTAATTTTTTTTTAAAATGAATGTTGTGAATTACCATTTAATCACCAAAAATAATCACCAAAAATAATATTAATATTCTAGTACATTCTTAGTTAATAATTTTTAAAGTAAAATGAATATTTTAATTGTTTTTTAATCTAATATTATTATATTTTATTAGAATTGTCTCAACGGAACTCTTGCTTAACGGAACTGTCTGTCTATTTTTTAGAGCAGTTAAAGAAGTCTTCAAAAAAATTAAATCTAAAACTTGTATAATAACAATAGAGAAATAATTTCATATTATATAGAAATATATAAACTTAAGCACGTATAAGTCGGAAAACAAATTCACCTATTATTTTAACATTTTAAATAAATATATCTAATTCTATACTATATATCAATGATTATCACCACAAAAACAATGTTATGTTAAGTGAGTAAGTGGTAGTAAAGGGACAAATAGTACTGTACTACTGTTTAGAGAGAGAGAGAGAGAGAGTGGTGGTACCGTGAGAATGGCGTTGAAGTAATCAGGGTGAGCAACAAGTTGAGCAGAAATAAGGACAACAAAAACTCTAGCTCTGTGTATAGACAAATAAGGTTTGGATTCACGGAGAACCTTAACAAAATACCTGTCTTCCTCTGTCTCACCATAATCATTTTCACTGCTACTTTCTTCACACCCACACCCTCTAACCATAAATCTGGTCTTTTTGACAACAAGATGAGGAGGAGAATAATTGAACTTTTCAATTCTCCCTCTTGAATTAAAATTGCAGAACATTGGGTCATGTGAAAGCAATGTTTGATTTTCTCTTTGGTAGTAGTTTGGTAAAGTTATGGGTAGCTTCCAAGTACAAGCACCCATGTGCTGCTTTTTTTTTCTTTCTTGATTTAACTCAACAAGAGAGAAAGAGAAAGGTTCTCTTTTAAGTAAAGAGCTATTGCATTTTGATAGTGAAAGGGGTAAGATTAAGAAGCGGTGCCAAAGTGTCAATTACGCGGCGACAAGGTAGCGTTATATAGAGTCGGTTCTATTTGGACCAAAAACAATACCATTTTTGGCTATTTTTGTTTTTTAGTTTTTTTTTTCTTCAAAGAATTACTACATGTAGTAATAACTCTAATTACTCGACTAGTTTTATTTTATTCTATTCATAAACTGAGACTTTCTATCGGCAACTCGTGTGTGTTTGGTCCTACATAGACATGTATTCGAATTTAATGCTTAAACCTTATAGGTAGGGGGTGTTTGTGGATTGGATTAGGTCTGATTTGATTAAATATAATATTCGATCTAATCATTGATCTTTCCGTCTGTAACTCGTGTTTGGTTCCCTATTTCACAAAATCAATCCAAGGGAATAATTGATTTTTGCCTATGCTTTTACCCATAAAAATGATATATTTTCTAAAATGCATATTTCATAGCAACAAATTAATTATTAAATTAAATATTTAATTATTTTAAAACTAATCATAATAACATGTGTTTATTTGAGAAATTAAAACTATAATTTAAAGAATGTCATTTCAAAAAATATTATTGTCAAGATTTTTTATTTTCATTCATTTGTTTGATAAATTATGAAGATTTTTAGAAATACTTTTGAATTTTATTTTATTTTAAATTTTAAAAATATAAAAAATGTTAAAATAATATAAAATTAGGTAGTTATAATTGATTGTTTTTTTTCATCAAAATATAAAATTTTCTTTCTTTGACATTAGAAAAAAATTTAAAATTTCATAAATAAATGATATTTCTTGAAATAAGAAGTTCTTGAACATAATTTGTAAAATCTTAAAACAAATATGATTTTTTTACTTTATTCTCCACTTCTCAATCTTTCACTCACCATTTCATTCTTATTTCTCTTTTTATTTTATTATTTTATCTTATTTATCTAATTATTTTTAATATATTAAAATGTTTAATTATAGTATATGAGTATTATCTTAAATATTTATTTGTATATTAATGTATAATAATATTGACATTTAATTTGTTTTTACAATAATTTCAATTAATTTTATTTATTATTATTAAATATATTAATTAACTATTTTTAAATTTTAATAAAATTAATAATTTATTTTATAAAATTAAATAATACTTAATAGCCACACATAATTAATTTTTCATCTAATAGATCACCATTAAAAAAATATTTATTCTATTTTAATAAATAATTTTTATTATTTGAGATACAAAAATTTTATTTTTAAATGTTAAAATTTTTCTTTTTTTCACCGATCACTATCAATAAAATATCTATTTTTTTAATTAATAATTATCTTTATTTGAGACACAATTTTTATTTTCGTTTTCGTATTTCAAAATTTCTCTTTTGTCACGGACCATATCAGCAAAATATTTATTTTAATTAATAATTGTTTTTATTTGAGACACAAAATTCTTAATATGAAATGTCAAAAAAAAAAAAAATCTCAAGAGTCACTATCCGTAAAATACCTATTTTATTTTAATTAACAATTACCTTTATTTGACACAAAAAATTCTTATTTTTAAATTTTAAATTATTTTAATTTTTTCTTTCTTCATTTTAAGAGTTTTTTTTTTTTGTATAATTATTTAACACAATTAAGTTTATATTATCATTATTCATTTTATAATTAAAAAACTCATTTGTCTTGATTGTTTCTCTTCCTTTTGAATTAATATATATCTTGTTTGATTCAAAAAAAAATAAAAAAAACTCATTTCAAATTTATATATAGCTAAATAAAATCTATATTTTATTAAATAAATTTATTTGTGCAAACACTTTTTTTCATAGCAAAAAAGTTAATAATTAAATTATGTATTTTATTATTATAAGAATAATTATAATACTAAATGTGTTTGTTTGAGGGATTAAAACTACAATTCAAGGAATGTTATTCTAAAAAATGTTAAAGTCAGGAACTTTATTCCCATCCATTTGTTTGGTAAATTATTAAGATTTTTATGAATAATTTTGAATTTTATTTTATTTAAAATTTTAAAAATATAAAAAAATATTAAAATAATATAGAATTAGATAGTTATAATTGATTATTTTTTCTTTCCGTGAAAATATAAAATTCTCACTCTTTAACATAGGAGTAAATATTTAAAATTTCATAAATAAATGATATTCTTTAAAATAAAAAATTCATGGACATAATTTGTGAAAACTTGAAATAAACATGAAAATGAATGATTCTCAATCTCATATTTCCAGGAATACAATTTAAATCCAGCAAACAAACACCCCCTTAATTATTTTTTAATTAGTATTTTTTTTAAATAATAATAATTTTAATAAATTTGATATTTTAAATTTAAAAAAAAAAAGAGTAAATGAATAATAAAATTATTTAAAATAGAAATAATAAAATAAATTTAATATGCAAAGTCGGGGTAGAGGTGGGTGTGAGACAGGTACTAGCATTCCTCGTCCCCGCATCATACTTAAAACTTGGGTTTTCACTGCCCCTCCCCCACCCCCCATTAAACTGGTTTTCTCTATTAAATTTGAGGCGGGGACGACCAGATCCATATTTTTTGTCATGCCTTATTCTACCAGGAGACACTAAAAATTGATAAAATTATGATTTATGATAAAATTAAATTAAAGGTTATGATAACGTTTCTTAGTGGTATGGTGTGTTGTTGGAAGAAGGTTATTGAAACTCCAAACTTTAGAAGACTTGTATAAAGTTAGATGACTTATTCATTTTAGGAACAAACAATTATAACAAAAAAAAACATACACTTATGATCGTCATTTACTTAAGGCTTTATTTAGATTAATGGAATTGAATGGAGCGGAGCGAAATGAGATGAAATAAAATGAAATTCCATTGTTTGGATAATTTAAAAATGAATGGAGCGGAGTAGAATGGAGTGGTATGGATTCCATTCCATCACTTACAATCATATCCCCCCCCCCCTCCGATTTCGATGGAATGAACAACTTATCTTGTCCCGTCCTACAATTTTCAAATAATGGAATGGTATTTTCGTTCCGCTCTGTTCCATTTTTCTCCATCCCACTTCGTTCATCTCTATTTTGCTCTGTTCATTTCATGATATCCAAACATAGCCTAAGTGTGTGAGTGTTTGTAGATACTTTTCCAGACTGGAGCTACAAACAATTAGGATTTGTTTTCCGATCTTCAATGAGCTACACATATACATATATAAGGTCTAATTGTAGATCATCAGGCGTCATATGTGTGAAGCATCTTTTAATGTTTCTAATATATTTTATTTCAATGATAAATTTCGATAGCGTGCTGGTAGGAATCACCAATAATTTCTTGGAAAATATTCTGAAGGACACCAAGAAAAGAACAATGCAGATTCTAAAATAAAACAACAACGCAAAATGATTTGTGTATGAAAGGGAGAAGACAACGACTCTCCTCACGAAACCTACGTTTTTTAGTGGACCACTCAACCATTGGAATGATATCTAACCTATAGTTTCCGTTGCGGTAAAACTTTGTATGTTTTAGAAAGATCTACCCATCAGTGTCCTGACAAAGCATGGATCAGAGAGCTGATGTCATTCACTAGTTGTGTACATGGTTTTTCCAACCCAAAAGAGGAAACATGTTATGCCCTCAAGATTAAACAATTGTAAGCCACAATCTCAGAGGATGAGTCAAAGCTGGAAACAGAGATGACAAAACATCCTTTGTCTTTATAAAACAAAGAATTGATCAATGAAGTGTTAAACTACCATGCCCCTTTGTTGATAAGGAATGTGATGGCCAACCTTAAAATCTTTCGCATGATAGTTAATCGTATAAGTTCTTGTGATATCATGTATGTAGAGTTGCTCATGCTCAGGTGTAACTTACAACCATACCACAATGGTATTTTTCATGGGTTTGATGACTACGACACCAAACTCTATGGGTATATGGATTTGCATGTATCGTTTAGAGCAAAAGAAAGCATAAGTTTTGTGAAAGTCAACTTTCTAATAATTTGATGTAAATATGTAGTCGAAAGGACAGCCCTATCAGAATTATGCATCCTATAATCGATTATTCATATCAAATTAAAGTTTCACATTGATGGTACAATATTGTTGTGCTCGAGACTAACTTGGAAGCATCTTACACTTATTTTTAACGCAGATAGAAAATCACCAATTATCCATGGAATATGAGGCCACTTAAGTTGCAGACTTAGAACTGCTTGAATCAGATTCCTACCTAAAACCACTGCCTAACAGGGATGGGAGCGATGAAGAAACATTTCCTCAAGAGGCAAGAAATAATGCCAAGTGCTCATATCCAAATTAAGAATTATTTGAGATAGCCAAAAGGCACGATCCCTTGAAAGTCATCAAAATATGGGTTTATTTACTACAAGACCCTAAAGATAAACTTATAAGATACTTATAGGACAAATTTTACTTATTGTCTTGGTCTGTGTAGGATATATGTGGTATAGTCCCCAGTGTGGCTTACTACTCGTTGGCTTTACATAGAACTGTCAAAATGGACTACCCGACCCTTAATGGGTCGCTCTTAGCGGGCCTTAGGATTTTTAGGGTCGGGGGAAAAAAGCCCGTTGTAATATTGACTTGAAAATTACTACCTAAGCCCGACCCTAGATGGGCTTTGGACTACACGACCCTAAACGAGCTTTTTTATAAAAAAATAAATAAAAAATGCATAATATTTATTATAAATAAAAAAATTATATTATTTTAAACATATTACATTTTTAAGTACTATATTATCTTTTATAAATACTATAATGTATTTTTAAATACAATACATGTCTAAATTGTATAAAATAATACCTGAATATTTAACATAAGAGAAACTAACAGAATACGAGGAAAGAGTGTCATACCCTAA